TTCTCCAATGTGTCGAGATGTCTCTGCAAACTTCCTAATGTGCATTCAATTCCTTCATCCAGATGACCGATAAATATTTTCAACAGAACTGGCCCTAGAACCCTGAGGAACATCACTGTGCAGTCACCAGTCAGCTGTAACCCCATGCACTGCAGCCCTCTGGGCTCTGCCCTTCAGCCAGTTCTTCACCCAGTGCACTGTGAACCTRATCATTACAGAGTCTCTAGAAATACATCATACCACAGAAACCACAGAATTTACCAGGCYAACATTTTTCAGTTTCTCAACTACTGAGGCACATACCGAGTCTGGAATTTTCGATCTGGTAAAGAGACAACGAACCCACGCTGGGGACGCCATCTCCCCCACTCTGTTCCCCAGCACCTGCAGAGAGAGGAAGGCATAACCAGTCCACACTTTCCCTACAGCTCTGAATGCTCACAAACAGACGACACAGCTGACAAATCCCAATCCGGATCCCCACCGTCCCAGTGGCTGGGGATCGGCCACGATCCCCATGATACATATGGTCTATATCAAAGTGACAAGGTGCTTATGAGGCCTACTAATTGAAAACTTTCTATAGCCTTTTTTATATRTTATCAATATATATGTAATAACTTTTTACATATTATTAAAATACAATGTAATCACTTTCAATATATTATCAATAATATCAATAATATAATCAAAATATCAATTTTTTATATATTGCTATAAGTTTTTTAATAGTGTATTAGCAACATATAGTGTACCAGCTGCACATAATCTAACCAGCTGGATTAGTACATAGATACGTGAAATCACCAAGAGCCATAAATCAGAAGAAGTTCTGAAGAAAGTAGACAGGTAGATGCTATAAACAAGAAACAGCAGAGAGCACTAATGAGAACTTGGCAGAGGCACGGGACGTCAGCAAAATAATTGAAAATTACGACTTGGAGGACTAGAAAAAAACTATTTTTCACAATTGTGCATGCCCTGAAGACAAAGGTTAAAAGTCCACCATGATGAAGAGGATGGTATCTCATTAGAGGGAGACCCCCACGACCACTGAATTGAGGATAACACATGCACACTTGTAAAACTGTGATATCATGTATTTCCGTGCCCATGTATAGTGGTGGGTGTATGGTGGGCGTATGGGGGGCAGTGACAATGTTCATGTTACACCATGCTTACTGTATAAGTATGTGCTAATGAAGCAAAGGCAGGTGGGTTAGGAGGATAAATCCCCCTCACCTCCAGCGCTCCAATAAACAAATACCTGCTCTATAGASACCGTTCTATGGAGTTTTATTTCTAGGCCTTTTTCGGGCATCACCCAAATGGATCAAGCTTCACGAGATCCCACTTGGATCCTCTCCCCGGAACCCCATGTGGATCCGCACATGTGGAATCTGTGGATTCCAGAGGCTGCAAGCCCCGGCTCCAGCCCAGATCCCCACCTGGATTCCCCTCCCACAGCTGCATCTCCCCTGGATCCCCACCTGGACTATCCCCACCCCCAAATCCTCACCTTCCCGGCGCCTGCGAGCCCCAGGCCCGCCCGCCCTACCGCGGCCATGTCGGTGCGCACCCTTTATCCCGGCCGGCCACCGGCGCCGCGGCACTTCAGTTCCGAGCGGGCGGAAGGAAAGCGGCGCGACACCTGGCCTCCCATCCCCCGCCCATCCCTGTTCCCTGTCCCGCTCCYCGTCCCGCTCCCCGTCGCCATCCCGGTCCGTGTCCCCGTCCCTGTCCATGTCGCGGGTGAGGAATGACGGCACTGCCGCGCTGGAACGGGCCGGGGTGGAGATGGTGAAGCGGGCGGTGCAGCTGGATGAGGCGTCCCGGTTCCAGGAGTCGCTCGTGTGCTACCAGGAAGGCATCGACCTCCTGCTGCAGGTGGTGAAAGGTACCGGGCTGGGCACCGCCGTCAGGGCTCGGGGTGGCTCTGGGGACACACGARCAGGGTTGGACCCCGGCGTCCCACGGGGAGGGAGGGGAGCTGCTGTCTCCTCCCGGGACAGCCGGGCCAGGCAGGGCTGGGGAGAGCTGGCCACTGTGTTTGACTGGCCGCTGACTTTTTGTGATTCACAGCCACGACAGATGAGGCGAAAAAGCACCGCTACCGGCAGAAGATATCCGAGTACATGAGCAGAGCCGAAGACATTAAAAAACACATTGAAAAAGAAAAACAAGGTTTGTATAAATAAAACACTAAATGGGGAGTGCCAAGAGGATGGAGCCAGGCSCAACCCAGTGGTGCCGATCACCAGGATACGAGGCATGGAACAGAAACTGATACWCAGGAAGTTCCRCCTGAATATGAGGAAGARCTTGCTTACTGTGCGGGTGACTGAGCACTGGAACAGATTGTCCAGAGAGGCTGTGGCGTCTCCTGTTTTATTCMAGAACTGCCTGGATTCAGACCWGTGCCACGTGCTCTGGGATGACCCTGCTTGAGCAGGGAGATTGCACCAGATGTCCCACTGTGGTCCCTTCCACCCTGACCCATYCTCTGCTTCCTGATATACCCAACATACCTGTTTGCTTTTACATGTCTGCTGTTGTGTAAATGTTTGATGAGCAAGGTGGTTTAACATGAAAATTGTGTCRTGACCTTTACTTAAAAAGAGACTCACTTTTCTTCCAGATGGCAAATACCATAAGCAAATCAGGATAGAAGAAAATGCAACAGGTTTTGGCTATGAAAAGCTTTTCCAGGAATACCTCACTGAGATTGTTTCTGAAGTTTGGGTGGAGGACCCCTACATTCGGCAGGTTCATCAGGCAAGTAGATATTTGGTGTAACTGATGCAGATGCAGCCACTAGAGAAATTCCAAGCTATTAAATTAAACAAAACTTTTTCAGTTGTATAACTTCCTACGATTCTGCGAGATGCTAGTTAAGGGGCCTTGCAAGGTGAAAACAATCCACCTCCTCACTTCCTATGATCAGGTAAGTGTCTAGATTTTGGGTTCTATTTCCCTGTATTCAGATCATGCCACATGCAAAGCAAAATACAGAAATACAGACTTGTTCCTACTTACCAGAACTTGTTAGACTCAGGCTACGAYGCTTTCAGCAGAAAACACAAATTAAGAGAAAAATAAAAATGTGRTGGTTGAACATAAGTAAGTCTGTAAGTTCAGTGTTTTCTGGTAACTAACAAATTCTGGGTAAGCAGAATCTTAAATTCAAATTTCTGTGAAAGTTTTGTTGTGGAAAATGACAAAAGCTAAAGCATCTCTTGAGACAGGTTTTTTTTTTTCTCTTCCAACAGCTGTATTTAATTGTCATTTTAGAAGCTTTCATGAGCTGAAATGTCTCAAACTCTCTCTTCACTTATTTAAACTATTACTGCACTTCTTTTGGCTCAAATAGTACATATCTGGTTTCAAAGGGCTGAGAGTGAGCTCCTCCATCACATCCCTCAGCAAATATAACTGTAGTCTGTCTGCTTTTTATACTGTCTTTGAAACTGAAAATCTGCCTTCAAGTTATTTTCTTTGGGTTTACTTCAGTACTAAAAACGTTTTTGTTTCTGAATTTAAGAAGAGTTTGTGAGTACCAGAAGTAGAATATATAGTTTAAAAAAAMCCCAAAACTCCATCATGTTGTTTTTACTTTTGATAGGGTGGTGGGAGGAGTCAACAGATGAATTCGTTGGGAGAAATAAAACAGTCATTGAGTAACCATGGAATAACACTGAATATTGACTTTTCATCTTCAATACACGATCGAGAAATCAGGTGGGTGATATAAAAAATGAGCAAATGCCAGTTATTAGAAGCCAAACTATTTAACCTTAACTTTTGAGACAATTATTAATTACAGTTGTGATTAGCAAAGTAGAAGGCAGTGGCCCTCACTGGATGAAATCAGCCCTCCATAGTTTCATATTTTTAAATTGTGATGATGGTATTAGTTGTCTCTATACAGAATGATGTCTTGTGTGGTTCCCACAGGTATTGGTGACACTAGGAAATAATTGTGATTGAAACAAGGAGCTTGTGCATCATGTGAATGTAATCATTTTATTCAGCATCCTCATAGTATTCAATTTTGTGCATTTTTAAAACAGATTCAACAATGGATGGATCATTAAAATTGGAAGGGGTCTTGATTATTTCAAGAAACCACAGGTAAGGATGCTTTGACTTCTTTAATTAACTTAGAATGACTTCTACAATATGTGCTTACCATGTCAATTCTGTTCATTTCTGCAGGGTCATTTCAGCATTGGGTACTGTGACTTTGACTTGAGACCTTGTCATGAAACAACAGTGGATTTCTTTCATACTAAACACACAAAGAAAATGTGATCAAAAATGACTGCTTTTAATAGGTGTTTTCATAAGCATAAAAGTGTGAGACTGGAAGATGTTGCTTGAGTCCAGCTGTTGGCCCACAGAAGTAACTCTTCTAAGTACGTAGTGCAGCACAACTTTTATAACCTATCAGTCGAAGGATATTTGAGACTTTTCAGTCTGAGAAAACACAACTGCGTGATTCCTTCATTATACTTCTTCTGTAATTTTAATTAATACAGTCTATGTCTAAATTTTATCTTGATTTCATAACAGMCCCTCAATATTGTCTTTCAAAGGCCTCTTTACTGCCATTTCTGTTTTTACTGTTGATTTTCTCTTAAGCCATTTTTGGATTTTATATCTTTAACTGACCACCTCACAATCAGTGGAAGCTGGGCTGCCACATGTCCTCTTTTATAAGCAGTCTTATTTATTTCCTTTAATTCCTGTATTCTAGGCATGACTACTATTCTGCTGGGTTTTGGTCAATCCTGTAATACCTTATTTCACAGACTTTAATAGTAACCCCAAGTTTAACATTCCATTTGCCAAGCTCTTTGCCTACAAATGTGGCAAAGTAAACTGTTCAGTAAACAGTCATTTTAGGGTTGTCTTATATGTCTTTGCATAATGGATATTGGACTGGGAAGGCTGCAAACAACTGTATTCTCTTCCCTGTCACTCCTGTGTGTTCTTTTATTCCATGATACATGGTCATGTACCTGGTATCCATCCTTTGCTTTAGGTGTGGAAAGGATGTGTGATTCTCTCCCAATCTTATTCTCTGACTTTAAAGTTTAATGAATGGSTGCACTAAGCTATTTCCCTACTACTAAGGTAATCCTCTAAAAAGAATAAATTTACCTTCAAGTTTTTTCAGAAGTTGAATACCCTGAGTAGCTCAGTTGGTCAGAGCATGGTGTGAGTAAAGCCAAGGCTATGTGTTTGATCCCTGTAAGGGCCATTCAYKTGAGAGCTAGACTTGATGATCATTGYGGGTCYCTTCCAWTGGAGGATGTTCTGTGATTGTAAGCAATATTCTATTTAGAACAAATACAGTCTTCCCTTGTCATTCCTTCACCCTCTGGAAACTAGAGGTATTACCTGAGGTGCTGCTGCTTTTTCTTCTTTGTTAGCAAAAGAACATATACTCTGACATGAAAAACAGGCAATGGCCTCTTTTTCAGGCCCCATCAATATCTTTTCAGCCTCGGACTGACAGGTGCCTTATGCTTTCTGCCTCATAATACCATAGGACTCTATATTCTMGTAGCTTGTTTATTGCTATAACTGTTTCTGTCTCCTGTGTTTCTTTTTCCTGATGGTTGATGTCTTCCATATATTTTTCTTTTTTTTTTCTTAATGCACTTTATTAGTTCATTTTTTGTCATGTAATGCTGCTATTCTTTTCCTCTTGCCTCTAACATCAAATCTTCTCCCCAGCAATCAGGAACAAATGGAGCTAGTCTTTGGCTTGTTTTCTGGGTCACAATTTGCCAGTGGTCTGCCTTCTTTATCCTTTCTCATAGTAATGTTTCAGCATTGCATCAATGTTTCCATAGCAAAAYGAATAATATATGTGCCACAGAGCTGTGTGCTACTAGTCATTGCCCCAAATATTCCATAGGAGCTCCCTGGCTTGCTGCTGTGTTACTAGGTTTCTAGTCACTGTTGTGAATTTTATTCAGTTGTGTACAATATATGTCTATTTTAATGGGAATAAAGGTTATTTTTTATTATTTGTAGTTTTAGCAATCTGTTTGATTTCTTCACTGCATTGGGAAATTCAATGAAGCTGAGTAATGCCTCATAGATCCAGTCATGTTCTGGAGAAGGCTCACTGTAAATACAGTAATTTCCCAAATGTGAAGTTTGTGTCTTTCAACTCAGTCCAGCAATTTCAAACATAGAGAATCCCAGGATTAATTAGTTTGGAAAAGAACTTAGAGATCATTGAGTCCAACCTATGACTCAACACCATTTTGTCACCTAGACCATGACACTGAGTGTCACATTCAGTCTTTTCTTAAACACCTCCAGGGACAGTGACTGCTCCACCTTTCTGGGCAGCCCATTCCAGTGCCCAATCACTCTTTCTGTGAAGAAYGTTAGGAATAATGTCCAACCTAAACCTCCCCTGTTACAGCTTGAGGCTGTGTCCTCTTGTCCCGTTACTGGTTGCCTGCAAGAAGACCTGACCCCTACCTGGCAACAAACTCCTTTCAGTTATCAATAAATAGCCTGTGTTCTGACCAAATCAAAATTGCATTACACTTACTCTACAACAACAGTGAAATATATATTGAGCCTTTCTTTTATAATTTTACTTTATATTCAGCTATTATTTTTATTTAACATTAAAACTGTCACTTTCAGTTGACTATTACATTTTATTGGAAAAATTTATCCTAGGTGGTAGCATAAGGAACCTCTTTCTCCTATTTGCATTTCCTAATGTTTACCTTAGACACCAGTACCCATGGCAGCAGGGACTCCCAGCTTGGTGCCAAGCAGTGCAAGAACAAAGGTGGCGCATGTGGCCTCTGTCCCAGTTAGCCTCTCCTGCCCTCATCACATAACCCCCCACAGTGAACTTCAGAATMCTTCCCCTGCTCTTGCACATGCATGGACAAAAGCCCTTACCCAGGGCGGAACACCAGAGTGATTCACTACCCAGTGGTAMGCTGAGCTCACCACTGTGCTTGTAGAGCAGAGGCAGAGGCACCACCACTCTGCAAGAAAGGACTTTCAACCAGAAATCAGGGTACATCCCTCTCCACACAGCTCAGGGACTGAGACACAGCCTTTGGGCTACTATCCACAGGGAGCAGGATGCAGGCTGGGGCAACCAGTGCAGCAGGACAGCACCAGTTTTACACCTACCCCATCCCATCAGGGTCACCAATTTGTACCATCTCTGCTACAGGGCCAGTTTGGGATGGTTCAAGCAGTGATGATGTCTTGTCGGAATGGCTTCCATCCCACAGTGTGGGAAGATCAGGTGCTGCAGGCAGTGTGAAATTTAGTTGTAATATTAAACAAAAGCACAAGAATAAACAGTTTGATTTTTACAAGCCTATTTTTTATCTTCCTAGAGAATGTTCTAATTTTGTTTTCAATGCATTAAATAAAAAAGCAGCACAATTGTAACATTTTCATGATGCAAGTCACATTAGCATTATCATATTGTCACATAATAGATTCCACCTGCTGTACAACTCATCATCTTGTGGACATACTCGTRGCAAAGTTGTCACTAGCGTAGTGGTTTCATTTGGACAAAACTTACTGCCAGTTAGACTCTTGATCAGTTCACTGTACAGTCCTGGTGGCAGCCAGTGTTCTGGCAGATCAATGTTACAGACTTCAATCCTTCCATTCTTTACATCCATATTTATTTTAACATCAAGAACAGAATCTTTATAGGCCATGTTAAGACAGGTGCTAACACTGAACTTCGGTGTCTTCCCATACACCCATTCCCAGGTTTGTAGTTCTTCAGTTTTGTTAYTAATTCCAGGAAGCAGAGTCTCATCAGCTGGATTTATTAAGGTGATATGGTGATCTATTTGGTGCTGTGTAGCATATTCTTTAGCAATGGCATCCAGGAGTATCTCAGAAGTTAAACTAGGATCCTCTTCAAAGAGATTTTTCACTGAGGCAGGCACACTAGGAGTGGCATTGCTCTTTAGCCCTTTATAAGGACTTTTTAGCACAGAAGATAAAACAAACTTATCTGCATTACAGAGTAAGGTACAGTGATGATAAGCACTTGTCCTTCCCAGCTTTGCAGCAGTGCCTGAGATTTTGTATTGCCTATCTAGCAAGATGTCGTATCTGTCAGTGACGTGTACATCTAACTGGGGCCGCAGGGCTTTCAGTGCCTTCACAACAAGCTTCAGGTTTTCCATTCGTTGGTATTTTTTTCTGGTCGTGAAGAAAGTCAAATTGATATTACCTAGGTCATGATAAACTGTCCCTCCTCCACTTCTTCTCCTGGCTAGTTTTATATTTTTTTGCCTCAATAGCCTGAGGTTGCACTCCTGCCAGGGATTCTGATGTCTCCCTATTACCACAGCAGGTGAATTTCTCCAAAGGAAAAGGATGTGTTGCTTCTCTAAATCCATGTGGTCATGGATCCAGTCTTCCACAGCTAGATTTTGGTAAACATCATTAGAAACAGACTGGATAATGAGGCCTCCACTAGCTGTGCTCCTGAAGCAAGCCTTTGGAATCCTGAGGATGCAGAACGGCCAAAGGCAGTTCTTTAACGACTGGAGTACCATGTTTTTAATAACTGGATAGCGGACGGAAGGAACGCCTGCTCTGCTAATGCTGAATGCGGCAAGTGCGCAGCCGGCTCTTGTGACAAAACTGGAATGCCAGTGGCATGAGAGAGTCATGGACAGTCATGGACAGTCATGGACAGTCATGGACAGTCATGGACAGTCATGGAGAGTCATGGACAGTCATGCTTTTCCCACAGCAGCACGCCAGCTCCAAGGCATGGTGCTCCTCCGCTGACGCCGCTTAGACCCTGACCGGAGCCCCACAGAACATCACAGCAGCTGCTCCTCGCAGTCCCTGGTGCCTGAAAGACCAAAGGAAGAAACGGAATGCGTGTTTTCCCCTCGCTCAACGCAGCTTTGCTAATGCGGTTTCGCTTTGCGCAGTCCAGCTTTGCTAGTGTTTTCCGGGTTATTTTTGATGGGGTTCCTGGCGCGGTGCCTCTCAGCCCCCGGCCCGCACGGTCCCGCCGAGCTCTCTGCGCTACTCACGGAGCGRTCCCTGTGCCCGTGTCCCGGCGGGATCCTTGGAGCCGGCGGCCTCGGAAYGCCTTCCGCTTCCCGGGTGAGAGGTGCTGGGGGCGGTGCTGTCCCCGCCGTGCAGCCGCCGAGGGGTGAGGGCGGCCGGCTGGGAGCGGGGACTGCTGCTCCGGGAGCACCGGGGCCTCGCCGGTCAGCGCGTCCATGGCACTGGGCACGGGAGGGAGCTGGGAGGAAGCGGGAATGACCGTGAAAAGGAATGTGAGGGAGATGTCCTTRCAAACAAACTGTGGGGTCTGCTGGTAGATAAAGCCGGATACTGATAGTAAAAGGAGTAATGGGAGGAACCATAAATTCTACCAATTGACAGACTGTCAAACCCAAGGCCTTGCTAAATCCGTGGACTTAAAGGAAAAGAACAGAGACACAAAGGATAAAAGGGGGGGGGGGCGGGGAATGCACATTAGAAGGGGATCTGTATTAGGGATTCGGGAAGTCTGTACCTCTCAAGTGCCTCAGTACCGGGGGAAGAGAGAGGGAAATGCGGCCGGGAAAGTAGGATAAAAAGGAGGCCGCATYCTTTAACTGTTTGAGAGACCCCATGGAAATGTCACYTGGCCTCTCCCTTTATTYGAATAAAGTTACAGGGCTCCTCTGTTTCCTTTTTGGACATAGACCTCTGGTGTTTGTGTATTAAATTTTCCTAACAACTGGGTCAGAGAATCACAGAACGGGAGAGTTTGGAAGATACCACAYTGGGACATCTGGTCCAGTSTCCCTGCTCAAGCAGGGTCATCCCAGAGCACMTGGCACAGCATTRTGTCCAGATGGTTCTTGACTATCTCCAGAGAAGAGACTACAACYTCTCTGGGCAATCTGTTCCAGTGCTCGGTTACCCTCACAGTGAACAAGATCTTCCTCATGTTCAGGTAGAACTTCTGTGCATCAGTTTCTGGCTATTGTCTCTTGTCCTAGTACTTGGTACCACCAAGAAGAACCTGATTCCATTATCTTAACACCTTCTCTTCAGGTACTTATGGGCATTGCCAACAATACTTACAGGGTCATGGCAACAAGTGTCATAATGCATAAAATGGATGATTTTTCTTGCAAGATGCTTGCACTTTCTCAGATGTGCAGTTTCTCACTGCAGGACATTCTGGATGCTAGAAGCTTTTATGAATTCACAAGRAGACTGAAGGGTGCACAAATGCAAGGAAGATCGTGAAATACACAGAAACTCTCCATGGTGCTCATGAAGATGTGGAAACTAAATGCTGATAGCATAATTCATTAGCAAGTTGGAAGTGATCAAAGAGTAGATGTATTCGTGACAGCAGATTGTCTTCAGATTTGYATTTAAGCCATTCTTAAAGTCTTTCAGACCTTGGCTACAACTAATTCTTTAAAAGCTATTGTCTGTGCTGAATCTCACACTGTGGGACAGTGTTCAGTTCTAGCTGAAGTTTTTTATCCACAGTAGTATCCCTACGGGCAAATATGTTCTGGGTTTCTCATGTTCATGGATGTGTATTTCTAAAAGGTGTATTGCTTACTTTTGTCTTCCATTCTGCCTTAAAAGAACTGTGTGGGTGTAGTAGGGCAAGTTAAAAGTAAGAAACCATCACCACATATGTACTGGTGGTGATTAGTCAGAGAAACAGATTCTAAAAGGAACTTCATGTGATGTGTGTCGCAGCACCTAGAATGCTGTATTATCACATTAAAAAAAAAAAGTTAGGAATTGTTTTAAGCTATTTGAAATAGGCATAACTTTTTGCTGAATTATATTGGTGATAATTTTTCACGGGGGTGAGCTTTTCTGTAATGCACAAYGTAAAAAGCATGCAGCTTTTGTCCATGAAAATATGCTGAAAATCAACTCTGAAGTCAGTTGGCAAAAAYGTGAACCCATGCACTCACTCTAGCACTGGTCAGAGCTATGGAAGTGCACCTTGTGAGACATCTGATATTACTAAAACTCAAAGAAAATGTGGGACTATTTGTTTCTATTTTGGCACGATTCTTGAACATTTGCAATGTATCATTTTGCCACAGGGTGTCCCTAAAAACCTACTCTGAACTGTTGCACTCTGTTTTTCTAGTCGAAAACTGTTTTCATAGTCAGAACCATAATTTGCTGAAAAATGTAAAGTGTGCAGAATACTAGGAGAACAGATAAAAATGTCATGGGTCTGTTTCTGATATACTGAAGGATGAAATACACATGCAACAATAAATTCCTTCCTATTGTTGAAGGCAAATCCAGCAAGATAATTAGAAATATTCTGGCAATAAGCAAAAATTTTGAATTTGTAAATACACACCRTGATTTCATTATCTCCTCTGGATTGGACATTTGAAATTTTTAATGTCCCGACTACTATTGTATAAATCACATATCTGTAAAATACAGCAGTTATTATTTTTACTTTTAAAAACAATCCTGTATGAATTTAATTTCTTTTTTGATCAATCGAGCATTATTTGGATGCAAAAGGCAATGCAACTGCTCTGCACAACATTAACCAGCTTTAAGATATAAAAGATAACTTGGCATATGTCCCTTGGAGGCTATTATAGACATACCAGAACAAAACCAATTAAAATGTATAATTTCACTCCTAAAATGAATTTTCTTGAGGAATAGTTTTGTTAAAGTTATGTAAAGAGGAAATGCTCTTTTCACATCTCTTTTGGTGATAAACATGATAATGCAGAGTCTCCTCTTCCACCATGCCATAATTTGAAAGTAAGATKTATAAGAAATCCAGGATAGGGGGAGGGAAAAGAAAAAGACATGCTCTCTTGCTCTGTTTCTGGAAGTTAAAATCTTCCAGAATCTTTTCTGGCTTTAGGTGGGGATTGTATTTCAGAGGTGTTATTCAGTCCTAATATTTGAAAAGGCAAGCTGTATCCATGAGTGCTTAACGGTGGCTGCTTGCCAAAAAACCCTGTTGTTCACCCTACACTGTCTCCAGAATATAAAACCTGTGCTAGTGRCTAGCAGGGAAGAGGACGTTTTGTCTGGTTTCCCAAACTCTGGGACTACCTAAAGCCTCTTTCAAAGGCTGCTTATATCCTTGCCATGAGCAGGCAAAAGGAGTCACAGAATTCAAATAGCTTCCTTACCCTTTCTTCAAAGGCAGCAGTCTGCTTCTCCCTGTCTCTGCTATTCCAATAAGAAGATAYATGCAGCCAGAGGTACTGTAAGGACTCCTATCTTAGGATATAAGAAAACATAAGAAGTTATTTCTCTTAAATTATTTTGGTGGTTGAATAAAGAAAAGCATGATTAGCCTCATAATACTYTGATGTTTTAACTGCACAATGTTTGTCAACCACTAATACGTTAGTCCTGGCATTAAAAATCAGGAATGAGTTCAGACTGTGGTTTTATCATATGTGTGAAGCTAATGTTTGACACTGTCAAGAACAAGTGTAGTGTTAAGGGTAGTATTTATTTTGGATGATACAACTGGCATATAATGTTACAAATAGATATGTGAATTAGATGGTTTTGAATAGAAGATAAGGTTTAATTAAAGGAAGCTATTTTCACAAGATTAAGTCAGTCTTATCTAATACTTGTTTTGTTCTTGYCAGGCCAGAGASTTGTGTRGCAATTACTGGTGTTTTCATCTGTRAAAGTGTCTCCTTGGATATTAGTTTCTGGAAGAGATGAACCTAATTAGAGTAGAGGTGTTCAGCTGAGCTCCCTGAGTTCACTGTCAGTCCCTGCTGATCAGCTGTGGCAGTTTCAGAATACCCATCTCTCTCCTGGGGCTGGACTGACAACACTTGGCTGCTTGGCTTTGTCTCTGAAATCTTCTGACCTGTAAGCATTGCTCATGCTGCCTTTCCCTGCCTTTTGCTGAGKCTTTTGTATTAATCACAGGTAAGGCCTGTGCTCCATATGTGGGCCTGGTATGTTTGAGTTAAAGGTGCTTTAAAAGAATTCTTTAAAAGAATTTCACTCAAAACAACAATGGGCAGTGGTATTGCCCATGYCTGAGTGTGCCAATTAGTGATGGTCACCCATCCCCCTGTTTCCAAATAACCATGAACAATTTAACTGTTGTTGAGGAAGTTATCTTTTTATCTTTCAAGGTCTGGGGAGAGAGTACTGTGTCATTTGAGGAGAAGCTTGGCTTAACTCCCTTCCTCAACAAAAAAGCTATTCAAAAAGATGTAGCAGAAACCAGTTATTCAGGATTCATTTGTACTTAAAACCAAAAGGAAATATGAGCACCTTTCCTTGACTTTGGTAATGTTGATTGAGAAACTGTGCTCTACATCATAAAYCTGATACTGAAAGTTGAATTTTCATAGATAAGAGTTATTAAAAAACCTCTCAAGATGAAACCAAGTAGAGAAAAAATTACAATTTCTATGAAGGCAGTGGTCATAAATATTTATATCAGAGTTAATGGGAAAATGAGTTTACTGATAATTTTGTACAAGATTTCACAATGCATATTTTTTTAAGGATTTTTAGTATTATTTCTAAACTCTTGTTTTGTTTTGCCTCTATGGTTTCAGTCATATACACCTGTAGGGACAACAGATATAATCATTTTGGAAAGCAAGAGTAAAAAAAAGTGCAGAGACTGTGTGCTTGCTACAGAGCTRTTTAAGTAAGCTGCTGTGCTGGTACTAAGTCAGAAGTCAGTATGYCCATCACAGCTGCTTGGCTTCTGTCCTACAGAACTCCCGGCTCAAGGAAATCACAGTCATAGAATAGTTTGGGTTGGAAGGGACCTTAAAGACCACCTAGTTCCAGCCCCTCTGGCATGGACAGGGATTCTTTCCARTAGGCCAGGTTGCTCASAGCTCCATCCAGACTAGTCTTGAACAGTTCCAGGGATRGAGCATCCACAGCCTGCCTGGGCAACCTGTTCCAAGGCCTCACCCCCCTCACAGTCAAAACTTTCTTCCTAATATCTAATGTAAACCTCCCCTCCTTCAGTTTAAGGTCATTCCCCCTTGTCCTACCACTACATGCCCTTGTGAAAAGTCCCTCTCTAGCCTTCTTCCAAACCCCCTTTAGGTGCTGGAAGAGGTCTTCCCCAACCGTTCTCTTCTCCAGGCTTGAACAACCCCAACTTTCTCAGGCTGTCTTCAGAGGAGAGGTGTTCCAGCCCTCTGATCAGCTTAGTGGCCCACATTAAACTATTAAGCTATAACTACCAGGAAAAAATGAATTGATTGTAAACAGAAGGATGCATAAGATGGGAATGGGCCAATAATAGTTTTCAAACCAGATATAATAAGACAGCATTTCAAGTTTTGTTTTTATACTTTAACCTTAAATCACCATATACTTCAAAGGAGTGATTTCTGATCCAGAAGAGTTGGGATTGTTCAGCCTGGAGAAGGGAAGATGTTTTAGCACTTTCCAGTACCTAAAGGGGACCAAGAGAGTTGGGGGAGTACCTTTCACAAGAACCTGTAGTGATAGGACAAGGGGGAATGGCTTTAACCTGAAAGAGTACAGGTTTGGATTAGGTAAATTAGAAATTATTGATTGTGAGGGTGGTGAGGCCCTGGAACAGGTTGCCCAGRGAAGTTGTAGATGCCTCATCCCTGGAACTGCTCAAGACCAGTCTGCGTGGAGCATTGAGCAACCTGGTATCATGGAAAGTGTTCCTGTTCATTGCAGGGGCTGTGGAACTAGATGGTCTTTAAGATCCSTTCCAACTAAAATTACTCTGTGRTTCTATGATTTTAAGACTGTACCAAGCTTTCAATACTGTTAYCCACAGTGTTATTATACCCAGGTTAGGATAGGCTTGTTCCACCTGGAGTAGAAGTGGCCTGAGAGGCACATAAGTCCTGCCCACCAGTGGTTATCAAGAAGTMATAAACAGGCATTTTACAGCAGTACTTGGTGGAAAGATGAGCAACAATGGGCATCTGTTGAAACCAGAAGGGTTCAGACCGAATACAGGGAAATGCTTGCTTCTCATGAGGGAAGTTGAGCCATCCCCAGCCTTGGAGATTTTCAGGACTGGATTGGACAAAGCCCTGAGCAGCCTGACCTCAGAGCTTGYCCTGCTTTGRGCAGGGCTTTARACTAGAGACCTGGAGCCCATTCAAATGTGAAATATCACATGACTGTGTATTTCTAAGACGTGATGCTTCAWAATGAAATGTAATTGCACTGTTCTGGCAATATATATTTAATATAGTTTAAGTTACTTGTGTGTGCAATTGTTTGCTTACAAATGGCACTAAAATAGAAAATGAAAACATTAATAAGATTAATATAAATCTTAAATTTACTTACAGTCTTGGTAGAACTTGATTTTTWAGTAAATTAACATTGATTTCTACAGTATATCTTTCTTCTAGATCTTGTGGTTACAAATTCTGGTTCATCTTCTTTTTCTCCCTCAGCCTTCTAAAATCCTACCAAACGTATACATTTAATCCCACAGTTTACAATATTAAATTGACTGTATCTTGTATGAAGAATACACTGTGGGCTGAAATAGCTCTGAGTTGTAAATTAGCTTTARTCACACACCTACATGTGTAGTGAGTATTGGGAGCCCTATTTTAGGTACATCATCTTATTTCTTCAGTTCTTTTGGTACCYTTTGAGGGCAATATATCAATGTGAAATTTATGGCACTGTTATGGGAAAAGCTACTGTGTACCAGAAGCTTAGTGACTTGCTCTTTTGAGGTCTGACCTTTGATTATAGTAACACAGAAATTAGTACCGAAAGATTCGGTAAACGAGGAGAGAGATGAGRTGAGAAAGTTTGCACTTTAAAAGATGCATTTCAAATAATTCAGAAAGGACAGTCCTTTGAATGTTAAGAGTAAGCATTTTAATAAAAATATAGAGGTCTCTTTGAACCAAAGATTTCAAACCAGCTTTGCTGGAGGCTTTGGTTCTGTTATTTGTTCTCGCTACAGATCTGAAGGCTTCATGGTGATAACTCAGTTACATAGTGCTTTATGCAGATGTTTTACAGTGATTTCTCTACCCACTTCTTGGCATAGGTGTGTGACTTAGTAGATACCTAAAGCCATTATTGGTCATGTTGTGTCCCAAACYATGATTTTTCCCTTCAAACACTCGTAATGTTTTTTTTTTTTTTTAATGTTATTTTGCTCTGAAAACTCTTAATGCTGATCCATGACAATTTGGGCATAATTACCAACCAAAAATTTACATGAATAAATGAAAATATTCTCAGAGATCTGAAAGAGAGGAAATAGATTTACCTTCAAATGAAATGAAAATCACATTTCAGCTCTTTGACAACTATATTCAGTAAACTGAGTCAGGCCTTGAGTAAATAAGATACTTGGACATTTCTTCCTCAGCAAAAGATTTGTKCAAAAAACAGAGTAAAAATTGAAATAATATAAATTCTATATATAAATCAGCTATTTTTTTTTCCCTCAGCTGTTAATGTTTGATTATATTTATAGTGAGATGGTGAACWGTTAGAACAGATGTCCAAAGTGGCACTAATGAAAGACATCACTGATTCTCTGGAAACTGGGATGAAAAGATTGACAAGAAAAATACTRGATTCTGAAATTGAAATGACAGGAAGCTGAGTATGTTTCTCTTAGGTAAGGAAAAGTATGTAATTGCATTAATTTGACTAGTAAGATCAGCCGATATTCACTGGTTTTCRTAACTGTTTTGCAGCTCAACTGGAAAGAAATTTATGATAGCTACTTATGAGCCATCCTTTTTGGAGTGAAATTGTTTTCCTCATTGCTTATTTATATGTAAATGTTCTTGTCTTGTTGATGTGATGATATGCTGGAAACCATCTTCAGTGTAAGAGTAAAATTCATTTAACTTAGGAGTTTTCTGTTAGAAACTACAGGGATTGATGGGTTTTGGTAAACTGCATGTGAATAATTTCCTTTTTTTTTTTTAATAAAAACAGGCAAACACACATAAACTAGTGAAWGTTGTGTCATTAAAGATGCATTTCTTAGTCTTTGTGCCTTTTAATGAGAGGAACTAAAACTGAAGCTCCGCATAAGGCTTATGGTCTGCTGCTCAACTACAGTTCCTAATGATGCCTAATGATTTTTGCTTTTCCTTTTTACGCTTTCTGTACCCTCTATGCATTCCCCTGCACCCCTTAGCCCACATGCTTATAATTCCTGTACCCTGATATTCCAGCTTAGTTTAGGAGTTCTGCTAGGCAGAGAGACCAAACATCCTGAAGAAAGAGTCAGCGTGCCCTGTGCCATCTTAAACCCGAAGCTCCAGCCTTGGGTGAAGCCTTCTSTCYRGAACATCTTGTGTAAACTGGGCTCTRGCCTCATYCRGGGGGGGATTCATTAGAATAGGGGGACATTACTGCATTTGTGAAGTTTCTTATTGGGGAATCCTAGAWAGATHTRCTRATTSCTGAAACCTATAAAACTTGTACCCGTGCTGTACACGGGTGTGCATTCTGCCATCAAGTTGTGCACCTGGGATCTCAAATACCGAGGTAAAACCCTTTTTATCCCCTTAACCGTGTCTCTGTCATTATTAAAAACTGGCCTTTCAAGGCAACACTAACCTTCAGAAGCATGGTAGGACTAGCTTAGATGAAAGCCTTTAGGAAATAAACATAGGTYAGTGAGTGCTGATTTATAACAAATTGTCAGATTTGTGAATACTGTTGAGTTGTTGGAAGCTGGTTGCTGCTACTGAAAGATCTTTTTCTTTTCACCCCCAAACCAGGCTGATAATTCTTATCAGTTTCTTGAACAGTGTGGGATAGTTAGCATTACTACATTGTAACACATTACTTGGTTATAAYTTGTAACGGGTCAGCCATCCCAATGGGTGATTTTGTAACCTTTTTATAACCCACATGTTGCAAAGAATGCTACTTACTTTTCTGTAATCCTTTGSAGTAGTATTCAGAATTTAATATACTGAGATTAAAGTTAACATGAATARAATATTCCAAATAGTCTAAAATAGACAGAAGAATCTAAATTTTTCACACCTTTTGCAATTTTAGTGACCTTTCCAAAGGGAAAAAATAATATRTCAGTGTCTGAATTCTCCTGTTTAATGCTTCTGTTTCACTTTACTGAATGAAAAGACAGAACTGTCTTTCAGAGACTCAGAAGCCTTGTTAAGAAAAAAACTTGTAATGCAACTTAGCCAAGAGAAAATTATGCTTTCAGATGAAAGAACTGGTGAGTGACAGATCCAATTTTAATAATAAAATTCAATAAGCTGATCTTTTATATTCTGCATTCTTCTTTATTTTTTGTTATGGATTGAAAGAAAGGGTGTTGAATGTAAATTATTATACTTTTGAAAGTTTTAACATTTCGAGTGCAAAACTCTGGTTTTCTTTCATTGTTGAAAGGATTTTGCATTTTAAAATTATGTGACAGAGCTCTGGCAAGTGTAAGTTTCAGTGACAACACAYGCTGTCAGCTGAACAGTGTGTACTCGTACCATTGTGCGGTGTCTGAGCGTATCAGTTATATTTGTGATCCTCTAAGGCAGTGGTAACACCTCTCAGCACTGTAAAATAATGATGATGGAAATTGTAAAATTGTGTCTATTTTGGAGAAGAGATGTCTGTCTCTCACCTCTCTTATGTCTCCAGTAAAAGACATTTTCTAATCCTATGGTTCTCTTAATATGTGTGTCCAAACAATATGGGAGTCTTGTATAATATACTTTGTGATGGAGTCCCTTTTTTATCAATTAAAATCTACCAGACTAGTAGTTTATTGATTGTAGAAGAGCTGTGTTAGCTTAACTAATAGGCAGAAGACATTTTAGGTTTGTGACTTTGAGCCAAATGCTATATATAGAAACATATTCTGCAAAAAGATAACATTTGTTCCTTTATTTGCCAAAATAAAAAAGAAAAGAACATTCAGTTTGAAACAGTACCTGATGAAAYTTGGAAAAATCACAGTCCATTTTTCAKTAAATAGYTAATTTATTCAGCTAGCTGAATAWAAAGAAATATAAAATTCTTTCAATKTTTTCACATTTATACTCAGGAGTGGTGAGAGATTTGTCTTAATTTTGCATTTCTTTTAAAGGAGAAAATAATTTCAGATTTTGAGATCTTGATTTCAGAGCTGGACCATTCCACAAAATAGAGATGAAAATTCAAAATCATTATAAAATTTTGATTAATTTGTAGCTTTAAATAAAAAATGGAATAATAGGATGTGCTAATGTGTTACAGTTTTGTTTCATGACTCGAAAAACACTGGAAAAGCTATGGTTTATGTTCGGTTGGTCATACCTGAACAATTTTTTATTTGCTGCTTAGAAAATCTGCTGAAGAAGTCTCCATCTTTGAGAAAGGTATCACCAGTTTGCATCAACAGCTACAAGAAACCAACAAAGAACTCACACAGACCAAGAAGAAGAGAGAATCATTAGCTCAGGAGAACAACACATTACAAGAGCATCTTTCTAATATTAAGCAAGAAATTCAGGCATATTTGTAGAGAGAAATCTTGACTAGAAAGAAAAAATGGTGTCTTTTTCAAATAGCACAGAGAATAGGTGGGTCCTCATCTGAGGTAAATATGAGATTAGTTTTTAGGTCCATGTTTCAAACTCAGATTTCCCCTTTTTGCTCAGCTMATTTGTGTAAAGAGGACCAGCTATTCTTATGCAATGGCTTGGATATATGTCTTGAGGAACAGTTAATTAGTGGGTTTTCCCCTGATCTTAAAATAAAAACAAGGCAGCTATAATTATCATTTATATGAAAAAGTACTAAAAAGGAAGCAGCAAGTATTTCTTATAGTATGCTGTGACAGGCCTAGACTACCTAAAGACTTCTGACCGTGACTTGATAATATTTCAAAGCAGTACACATTTTAATGAAGATCTAAACTTTATTAAAAGTATTGTATTTATCTTTTTTCAAGAGCAGCTTTTGGATAAAAGATACCTGAAATAGTGGGTCATAATCAAAACCTTACATTGTTTACTGTGTTATCTCTGTGCAGTTCCTAATGAAAGTAGTTAAAATATTTCAAGTGTCATCTCATGCACACACAGTACTCCTGCTGGTATGTTTTCCTAGCTAGAAATTTAGCTTAATACCTGTAGTAGTTCATCACTGTAGTGTTCTGGGTTTTCTTCTTATTCTTCAGCTTCTTGCCTTCATTTAGGTTGCCTGGTACTTGATGTGTGCACTTACCCTACTGCTCACTTGACTTTAGGTCCCTCTAGAAGTGCCATTCAGTTTTAAAGGAGCAAATGAACTGCACCTGATGCTAGGTATAGAAAAGTTTTAAGTCATTTAGGCTCTCTTTTAAGTGAAGAAAAGTCTCTCCCTTCATTATAGAAATAGGTTAGCTAATGACTTTAGATCAGGTGCTTAATTCTTATAAATGTGACCAAAATTTAGGTGGGACCACATGCATTCTAAATAAATTTTCTCCCAAACATACTAATTGTTTCTTTGAAGAACCCTCCTAGGAAAGGTGAGATTGGTAGTGGCTTTGTCTGCCAAAGGTTCACCAGGAATCACTATTCTTCACCTCCTTTTGGAATCATAGTTGATAATGATGATATCTCCTGGTACAAAATGCAGCTTCCAGTTGCTCCCAACTACTTTTGAAAGCTTCACAGATTTCTTTGCCATACCTGGATGCTTGCAGAAGTTGGAAACAAAAAATTTAGTCTCACAGCATGAAGTACTTTTTAATAGGATTGCCTCTAGAATATGTATTGATTCCTCTAGGCTCTTCCTTTAATTGAGGTGATACACCAAGTATTTAAAATATTATCATTTCTTCACTTGGGCTTACTGGAAAAGTTCACAGATTTCCAGAACACCTTTCTCAGCAACTCACAGCCTTTTTGCAACAGGAACAGGGGTTTCTCCATAGAGCCTTCCCCACACCACCACCCTCCACCCCCCACCTTCCCCCAGTTYTTGCAGTTGAGTTCTCCTAGTGATTTTGCACAGAAGTTCCTGACCTGTGCAGTTCAARACAGCATTTCTGCAGGTTTTTTTTTTCCTTCTTCTGTTCTCTTTCTCAAGCAGTAGTACTCAGAAATGTGGTATCTGTTCTCCTATCGGCTTTATTTTAAAATGACTTGTGGCTTTATTTTTCCCGATTTGGAGTTAACCACTAAACTAATTAGTATATAAGTAATCCATTATTAATGAGATTTTTTTTATCTGTCTTCTGCTTTTTAAAATGCAAGCTTTTAAAAAGTTGTAGTGTAAAAAAAGCTGGAACTGACTGATCTCTGCTTGTTAAATGGGACAGTCTGTTTTGTTACAACAATCTAGCTGCTAAATAAACCATCTGTATTTTTCTTCTTAACTGCTATATTCCTTTATGGACATTTTTTTCTTTCTAAGATTTAACATTATTTATAAGTAAAAAAAACATTTTTCATAAATGAAAATTTGGTTTATAGAAACACACATAATTTACATTTTACATAGCCTTTAAGAAAATAGTTTTAAAAGCCATAGAGCTTAGATACACACTAATTATTTTTTTTAAGATGCAAGCAGTATACTCTAACCTTATGGAAAAAAMCCTTTCTTCATAGGTATTATATTAAAAAATAGCAAAGTGGCAAAATGGGCTTGATGATATGAAGTTGAAAGCCCAGGATTCTAACACAGGTATTGTCAGGCTAAAGGGTGTGCTGAAGTCTAAAGTGAGTATACAAATAAAAATGTTGGGTTTTAACTAAAAATGAAATTTTAATATCTCCATGGAAGAATTTGCTTCCTAGCCAAAACTTGTTTGCATTCTGTTAATTTGGTTTCAGTAGTTTGAACACATTTTCATAGCTGTTTTTGCAGTACAAAATGAATGTAGTATATTTCATTGTGGTTATATATATATATGCACACACATGTGTGTTTATTAAACTTAAAACATTGGCAAATAATACTGAGACTTGAAACTCTTTTGTCTTTATTACTTTTATGGGATTAAAGTAAAAAAATAGTATTAATGCACTATATTGCTATACCTTGTTAACCTAGCCATTCTTAACAGATGTCTTTTGCTCATTAAAATGTAGTCATCTTGAACAAAACCCTTGTTCTTGAGAAGTCTCTCAATGTTTTGGCTAAATGGCAAAATTTTCAGTGGAAAGAAAATATCCAATACCAAATCTGTAGATCTATAGATATCCCTATTTTTTGCAGCTTATTGTAAATTATTACATAAACAATCTTTTTGTGTTCAGGAGAGAGAACTGCATGCTCTTGGAGAATTACCGCAAAGTCTGTGAACAAGGAGAAAGCTGGGAAGCAAAATGCCATCAAGCAGGAAGAGGCTTTTCCTCTGTTAGACTGGCACTGATCAGTGGAGAGTCTGAGAACCACAGTTGGAAAAGGAAAATAGAGTCYCTTGAAACACAGATGGAGCAAGTGAGTTGAAATTGTTCTTTCCATAGTTCACCYTTGAAATGGTCTGGAAGCATTTTAAAATTATGTTTAATGCCACTTCTTCTATTTTAGGGAGATTTTCCACCAAGAACTCTATGGATTTTGACTTTAGATAATAATATKATTAGAATTGCATTAGTCACACTTGGGGGAAAAAAAAAAATCTTTAAAAAAATAGCAGATTTCAAGGAAAACAAAAAAATTAAATGCTCTCGTGTTTGGAATGACTAAAGGCATTAAGTCACACAGAACTCTACAGCATACCTGAAACATATTGACTCCTTTGTCACTTATTGTGTTCCTGTCACTGCTCTTCTTGCTTTGAGCTTCTCAACCTTCTTTCCACTTCTTGAGATGTCCCAAAGATCCTCTTCCCACTTGGAAATCTGAAGAACTTGAAGAGAAATTCACAGCTTGGCTTTGGAAATAAGTTGTGAACAAGTAGACGTGATTTGGAGCTTTTACAGGTTTTGTTGCAGATCATTTCTGCTTCCTGAATATCACATAAGCTGCTGAGGGCTACTCAAGAAAGTTAGATGCTCCAGAGGAAACTGTTATTCAGTCTCTGACAGAACCAAACTTCTGATGTTCAGAAAGTGGATGAGAACATTGCAATAACAAAACAGCACAGGAGGATGGTGTGGCAAATTTTGACATTCTTTGAAGATAGAATAAAACTGGTACATGGTTCTAGTTTGTCCAACAAGCCTGAAACCAGCAGATATTTCATCCTTCTAATTCCTTCTCACATGCCTGCTATTAAGTATAGRAATAAAAAAGCCTCTTCGTGAACACTTTGTCAGCATACGGGTCAGAATTCCCAATGTCATATTCCAGTTCATACAGTCACATGCAAGGGACATATCTAAATAACAGAAGTTTGTGTTCAAAAATCTTAATGTGCTTAGCAGTGCTCTGTGTTCCTTGTGCTTTTTTTTTTTTTTTTTTTTATGTGAGACAGAGCTAGAATTGATGTGGTGTGCTCCCATACAATAATCTCTTTGGATGTAATTTTTCGCAAATCCTTCAAGCAAATCACAGTGCTTTACCTCTCATTTTGCTCTGTTAACCTCCCACGCTCATTCTACCACCCACTGAAAATTAAGGAGTTGAAAATGACTGACCAGGAATATAAGTATCACTGGGCAAAATACAGGCATTTTTCAAAAAGAAAAACATAAGTTATATTAATTTTAAATGYACAAAAYTCTTAATGYTTTAGTCAGACCTGCTGCTGTTTGKCTTGTGGACTCCTCTTTAATGTGACTCTCTCATCTCTGAGTCATACCTGAATTTACAGGTGACAGCAGTATAAATGACTGACAGAATCTCTGCAATCACAGATAATCTACATACAAAACCAATTTTWATTGCTAAAATAAGAGACCTCGTCTGAAAATAAAATGCAGTCCATGGCAGAATTTTCGAGCTTTTTAACTCTGCAGGAATAAATTTTAGGAATACAGTTTAAAATATCAGTATCTAATTTTGCTGTCAGAAGCAAGAACTCTAATAGTTTTTATATACAGGAGTTATTTAAAAGAAATAACTTTAAAGTTTATTGTAGGATAAATTACTGTGGCCTCTTAAAATTTGCCATAATTACATAGAGATATTTTGTAGGATTTTAGAAATGGTTTTATTTTTTTCTTTTTAGTAGTTTGATACTGCTTTACTGTAGTGTTTAACAACAGAAGCAGCATACAAGTCTCCTACATCTGCCTTTAACAACTCTCTTGTGAAAATGGGTGGAGAACCTCAAAACACATTGTGAGAGTCTCTGTACTTGCAAATGTCACATCTACAGCAGAACTTCCCATTAAGCTAGATATAATCAAAGAATGATTAAATTAGCATCTAATTTCCACAGCAGAGAAGGTAGCAAGGGTATGTGAAATATATTAGAAAAATAAGTTTATGTTAATGTTATACTTAAGGGATCCAAATATACTTTAGGATCATGAATGATCACTTTTAAATGTTTAATTTGGCATTTCTCAGGGGCTTACTCCTCAAAGGGTATATGTTGTATATTCTTTCAAAAGGACACTGCTTCACTGCTTTTCAGGGCTTAACTATGAATACTCAAAAGTCAGGGCTTAAAATTACTGCTGTTTTCAAAAAAGATATCTTGGATGTAACATCTAGTCACAAGGTAGCAGAATAGCTGTAGTTGTTTARCAATGAAACTTGACATGAACTTCAAAATGACTGACAGTGTTAGGAAGTATCARTATCTTTAATATTTTCTTAATTTCCCTTAAAAATTGGGTTTCTTTGAACTTGATTTTTACAAAAACTGCAAAATTAATGTGTGCTACACAAAAAAAAAAATCAGTTTGGATAAACTTCAAAAAGTTGTTCATACACACTCAGGTTATTCAGATATTTTCAGTATGATTCTGTCACTTACCTGTCCATCCTCTGCTGCAACTGACATAACTTCTTGTTCTTTACAGGCTTCCAGCTGTCTCTTTAAACCTTTATGCATTTTGCATGCCCCATGGGTAAACCTGCTGTTTGACAGTTGGTTWTCCATTCCAGCCAAATGTGTGAAATGCCTTCTGTATCCTTGTGAAATCCTCTATGATCCTTTTGATAGGAAAGGGTTCCAGCATATGACATTTATCTGAAACTTCTATCAGATCTAATAAGGCTAAGGCTCCCTGGATCCTTCTGTGAAGGGGATTGCTGGGACTGTGGAGAGCAGCAACAGTTTTGGGAAAGAAAATGAAGAAACACAGTTGAAGAGTTGGAAAAGTCAGAATAAAAAAACTATTTTTTTTTTTATTATTTCTTTCAGCTTTTCAGATAAGGCTCTTACTTTACACAGTATGTCAGTACAGAATCTGCATTAGTATATTGCAGCATATTTATATTCAGAAGTGGAAACTAAATCTGATTCTGAATAATATTGTTCTGTCAGTGTTTCTAATATTGTTTATTTTCCTCTTTCTAATGCTGTCTAGAGTTTCCAGTATTCTTTTGTTCTGAAATACAAATGTAGGATTACAAAATTTTTTCTCTGCAAAGAAACTAGATTTTTGAGTGACAGTTCATAGAAAATGGGATGTTCCAGAATGAAGAAACCTTTCAGTTTCATTTGGTAAAAAAAAAAAAAAAAAAAAAAAAAGACTTACGCTTTGATAAATGAAAAATGCTTTTTTCTTTCTTCATTCTTTTTTCCCCCTCTGTTGGCCTGTGATCTGTGTTCTTCCACTATCTTGCCCCTTTGAACACACAAATGGTTATCTTCTGAAATTTCTGAAGAATGTGCTGGAGAGGTGGAGTGTTTGTTAAGATGTCTCAGTTCATAGATTTCCCATGACCTTTGCCTGAGCATTATTGTGCTTAACGTAAACTAGGCTTGAGTAAAATACAGATAAAAGTGTTGCAGCACCCCAACCAGACTCAGACAGACTGAAATGCATGCATGAAAAGATGAAGGGAAAATAGCATCTCGCTTACTTATGCTAAGATTAAAACAGGCACTTTTCTTTGTCTCTGTAGCTGACCCAATACWGATTTTTCTGATTCTCAGTCTCTGGAATTAATTTTTTTATGTCTTGTAGCTATGTCTCAGGTATGTCCACTGTTCCCTTTGCAGTGGAATATACTAGGTTTTATAGGTATTCTTTTTTAGGTTCCTCCAAGGTATATAGAGATGTAATCTCTTTGTATTTTATTCATTTTCCCTTTCCCCCCAGTTTATTCTCCATGCTCCTGTAAGYAAAATAAGTGTATTCTCACTCTGCTGGTGATACTGATACTGGTTTGTTGTACCAGGTTTTATTTCCTGCATGCAAACAGTTAACCAACAGTTTCTTGCCTCAACAAAAAGGGAAACTTCCTTCCTCTTCAATGATTGTGTTGACAGAATCCATTGATCCATATATTTCATAGCATTTCATAATTTATATCAAATACATTTATATTAAGATATATACATTGGATGAGTTTCTAAATCTGACAGAGGATTTTGACTGGRACAACATAACACTAATCATCCATTTTAGAGTGAAAGCAAATTTTGTCATTGATCCCAGACTTCCTTTTATATTTTTTTAAAGGTTACCCCAATAGAATGCTAGTAAGATTAATAGACATRCATCTGAAACTTTAAAATCTTTGTTTATCTGCACAGCAAGGGTGAGTCATACCATTCTGAAAGAGAGCTGGTGAGAAAACAACTGGGAAATGAAAGGACATCTATGAAAAACCTGTAATCCTGCTTGTGCCCAATTGTGAGAAAGTATTTCAGTCACAGAGAGAAAAGCAAGAGAAAGACTCTGAAATTCAGTTTCTCAGCTTGGTTCAATTGAAAATAATCTGTCAGTAAATGACCAGAAGAGGATTTAATTTTCTCATTCTTTCCAAGTATGTTTAAACAGAGGTGGTTTTGTATCTAGCTGCATTTTCAAATGGCCAGTGGAGCTTGACTACCTGAATAGCAGAAGATACCAAAAACCTKCTTCTGATTCTTCAGTTACACACTAATTGACTTTAATACAAAGTGTTATATTTTGCTCCCAAAAGATRTTTTTAATCTCAATTGCATGGTATAGCTGCCCTTTTAATTTTGGATATTTGTATTTGGCTACATGCTTGGAGGATGCTTGACTACAAGTTTACAGTTGCTATCTAATTAATGTGTATGGACTTCACAATGCTGTGCAGAACCGAGATTTTACAGAAACAGAGCAGCTCAGCTAGAGTCAGAACTGGATATCACCRAAAGACAGCTGGGGACTGAGTGCTTTGAAAGGCAAGTACATGTTTTTGTATTGTGCTTCCTGCAGCTAATTGGGGTGAAATGCAGTCTAGTACTAMGACTTAGACTAATTAGTCAGATAAAAAGGAAATTTGGGGTTCACATTGCTGTACATCTCCCATGTGTTCAGAGAGTATTCATGTCCCTAAATTTAGTCTGTTCAGCTGTTGTACATGCTGTCTAAATTAGTAGTGTAAATTCCCTGTATRGCCAACTGAATGAGACAGTGAGATAAACTACCCTCTGGAATAGCCTGGCTTAGGRTGTGATGGGTCACTTTCCTGAAGATGCTCCTCTCTTTGCACTCATTTATTCTGGAGCCTATTTTGAYCTGTAGTGAAAGTCCAAATGACTTGTTGTTTATGCAAATGCTTCGTAGCTTACTAGTTCTCTGCACCCTTTGGAATTACTTCACCTGTACCAACCCCCATTCTCACAAGTTCTACTTGAGGTGTAGGCATGGCTCCCAAATGACAGTATAACCAATTTTTTTTCCTTCTAATTTTGCAAGGAGAATTTAACAACATATAGGAACAGTAGGAACTACTTCATATGATTTGGCCACAGCACCAGAGAATGGTCTTTGTCCTGCTTAATGAATCAGTTTATTTACATAGTCTTGGTGTCTTATATAGTTTTTTTTTACCTTTGAAACTACAGTACTTCTCTATTTCATGGATGTATTGAGGATAAAATATTAGTTTTTGGTATTATTTTGGATATGTGAAAGGGAGAGATAAAAAACCAGAGGGATGTGATTATACCTCAGGTTTGAGAATGAGGTGTCTCATTTAACTGTAGTGAATTGTTGATATTCTATTCTTTCCTAAGTAAGGACAAGGAGGCATCTCAGCTTTCATGGAAACAAATTAAAGCTCCAGGCCAACTTCTTACAGCAAATCTATTTTTCTGGGAAAATCAGGAGATTAACCATATAAGAAAACTATTAGTTGGTATCATCTTAGAACATAATGGAAGCAACAGAGGTGAGTAGTGACTGGTTTGGCTTTGTTGTTAGCTTGGAGAAGTGGGTATTTGATATCCTTGTTATAACACTGATTGTTCTAGTTGTACTGATTTAGTGCCTTAGCGCAGAATGAAGTAATGCCTGAAATTAGGAGGTGAAAGTGCCAACAGTGCCAGACCTTGAATATGCACCGAAACAGTGATACAAGAAGGCTTGATCCATCTGAATGGCTTTTTCTTTATCAGCCAGGAAAARCATCTCCTCATCTCTCCCATCCCTCTGACTGCAGAAGCAGTTGGGATTCCTGTGGAAACAACAAATTTTCATTATTATCCTCTCCTGGCTGTGGTGACCAAGCGCAGGGACTGTTAATGGCTTTAAAGAAGAAATCCTTTAATTGTCTTTAGATCCAGCTCCGTGTGCCAGTGCTGGATCTGATCATTCCCCAGCAGGTTTTGGTGATCTGCTCAGTGGTCCACTCCATGGGCAGGTCTGTGGTAATGGCTGAGCCACACTGAAAGCCAGGGGTTGTGCCAGGGGTAGCCATYCTACCTAGTAGTTTCTGGATCCAACAGACTAGATTCTCCTTATATAAACAACTGACAGAGTGAAAGCAGGATCTCAGAGGAGTATGTACCTTCAAAACTTTCCAGTATATTATCCAATCTCATATRCTTCCTCCCCATACACCCAGACGTAGGAGTTATGGACTGATCAATTATCCAGGCCCCATTCCTTGCAGTCAAAATGACTGGACTGCCATTTTGTAACTTTCCCATTGGCAATTCCAGCATCCTTTAAATATCCATCAGTTTCAGGGCACTTCAGTAGATTCTAGTCCACTGGCTTTGACGACTCAAACAGCACAGGAATACTGCAAGCAGCACTGTTCTTACTTTTAAACTAACTTAAAATTAGGCTCTTCCTCCCTGGAGATGCTTACAGTATTTAGTTTTAAACCTGCAATAACCATGGCTATCTTCTGTCTTTCAGGGAAAATTGAGACAATGGATATGTAGAATTAATTCTTAAKAAGGGAATAATACAAAGAAACTCGTTAAACTGTCTTTCAGAGAGGTATATAATGAAAATTACATTTCCTTTTAAGATAAAATTTAAAAGTTGACAATCTTAAATAGAAGGAAACRGTTTATAGTGACTATGAGATCATTTTGATCATTTTTGAAAAGTGCTTAATCTCACAGTAATGTTTGTTTAGGGAACTTCAGGAACTTCAATGCCAGAGTTGTACAAATTCATATCAGTTAAGCTCTACATTACAAATATCATCACCTCAACATTCCCATCATCAGTCTCCTGATGAGTCTCTGGAGGAGCACCTGGAAGGCTCTTGGTTCCACAACATTTAAGTTCCAAACACTGGGTGGGAAATAAAAATAAAAGGATGAACTCTGGTCTTTCTTGTCAAAATATCAACTGAATTCCATGGAATTACATTCATGCAAGAAAAATTACAAGAAGATTCAGTACCCCAATTGTTTGATGATACTTATTTTATTTTATTTTATTTTATTTTATTTTATTTTATTTTATTTTATTTTATTTTATTTTATTGAATTGCATCAAACTCTAATATATTGTAACAGCAACTACTTGTACTGGGGTGCTGTAGTCAAAAATTCGGTAACGGAATAATGTAATACAGTGGTGGAAGTAATGCTACAGAAAAGGTCAACTTGTCACTRTTTTGTACAAAGTGTAGATGTAAATATTTTCATCTTTCTTACACAAAGCTCTTAACTATCCAGTCTTTATTCTAGTCTTCAGAATAGTTTTTACTCTATATATGTCCACTTTTTACAAGAAACATAAAAGTATTCTGTAAGTCTTCAAGTACTCRTAATCCTGAGGAGGAGAAGGCCAGTTTTCTTTTAAACAATTAGTGGAATGGAGCTTTCACAATATGGAGCTACTGCCCACAGTAGCCTCAGCTGAGTTTCCTATTTGGTAGTTGCATGCTTGTTGCATGATGCTTTTTTGATAGATTGATGGCAGCATGCATTAAAAAAAAATTGCCAGTTGAGRTGGGCGAGGTCTGAGTTCATGACTTGTTTTTGAGATGATTATGTACTTCTAAGTTTAATTCATTAACTGAGATTATTACCTTTGGCACTTGATTAATCTTTGCTATCAAAGGCTCCTCTAAGTATTAAAAATAGGTCCTAATAATATAAGACAAGTTTCCTCGGGTCAGTGAGCTGATTCTGGTGCCTTTAGGAAGAAAACACAGCTGTGCAAGACATGATTTTGTAGCTACTACCAATCCTTGACAGCAAGTACAGGGAGTCTTCATTCCTCTGATAGAACTGTGTCTACTCCTCCAGAATCTGAGTACAGTGTAGGTTTTAAGTTTGTTGAAAGAAGCATTGTGTCATTTGGAACAGTTTCATTTACTTTTAATTACCATAACACTTCCTTCTAACTTTGATGCTTACAAAGAAAAGAGGAAACAATCCATGTAGTCACCACACTGATACTAACAATTAGGGTGCTTTTTCTATTTGCATTACTCCCTTTTCAGGGTGATAAAATTCCATTCTAAGTAGTAAACTTCTGGCTAAATAACAAATGAAGACTAATCTTCTAAAAACTAGATTAGGAATTCAGTTCCTATCTTGTTTGATGTTACTTTTTT